AAATGGTAAAACCTTTGTTTTTCCAATTTTGCAAGCGGTACAATCAAAAGAGAGATCAAGAGAAAAACAAGTTTTACTTTCCAATAAACCAAAATTAAATAAAGTACGAAGTACATATGAATTTGGATGACCTAGACGTCTATGCCACAGCTCATTGCCAAGGCTAATAGCATTACATGCAAAGGAACGTGAAATAGAACTAGGAAAAACCGGGAAAGGAGAAATGTGTAAAGGAAAGAGTTGTCCTACTTTAGGCACCTTTGTAAGCATCTTCCTGGACACTGGATCCTGCACAACACAACTAGAACGAGAAAAATGGACATCACAATTATTATCAGCCAATTGACCAACAGAGATTAAATTCATAAGAGACTAGAAGATATAAAAACATTAGTTAAGGAAGAAGAAAAATCGCCAATAGCACTAATAGGTAGAGAATTATCGTTAGCAGTGTGAATTCAAAGATCACCATCATACTCTCTAATGTTGGAAAGAGGATCATATGATTAGAGGCTCCGAAGTTTTAAAAAAAAAAAAAAAAGCTTAGAAGAAACGGTATGAATACTCGAGAGACCATATGCAGAAAAAGCGGAATAGATTATCTGTTGTACCATTTTAGGAGTGACACTGGTTGGGTTTGCTAGGGCAATCATAACACTGATAGGAACAATTGGCGAGGCAGTGGGCAACGCAGCGGAGCTATTGGCACCAACGGAGGCATAATATGTAGTGCTATGCTTCCTTTCAAGTCAAATGGGACAAAAGGAGATGTGATGACCCTGTTTATTGCAATAGTTACAATGTTTCTTGGGACAATCCAGAGCAATGTGACCAAAGGCTTTACTGTTATAACATTGGATAGCACGTATGTCTCGAAACTTATTCCTTCCTTGTGTTGCATAAGCGACAGTAATAGGAGAATTAACGGTGGCCCCATATTCTATAGTAGCTTGATTGACGATACGTTGCTCCTCGCAAAGAAGTTCACTCAAGCAAGCATCTAAAAATGGTACCGGATGACTATTCATTAGATTAGAGCATGCAACCTCAAAGTCAAGACGTAGCTTCATCAAGAATTGGTCTCTCTTGCTTGTTTCATGCACTATTTGAACAGCAAATAAGGCAATAGCAGGAACATTAGCATAAATAATGTCTAAATACTCAACCCAAAGATTTTGAAAAATAGAAGAATAATCCTCAGATCGAGAGGCTTCCCTATGTAAAATTAGCCAACTTGTATTTCAATCCAAGTCAGATTGTCTTGTTTGTAAACCTTACTAAAGTAATCTCACATATCAGTAGTCATTTTATAAGGTCTCAAATTAAAAACAAGGTGATGTTCAACTGAACCAATGATCCAAGTCATAACTCAGACATCCTTGATTTCCCATTTGGATAAATGCTCCACATCTTTAGGGGCAAGATTGCTTCCATCAAGATGACCCGGCAACTCTTTTCTTTTAATAAATAATTGAAATTGAAATTTCCAAGCTGAATTATTTTTGCTATTAAAACAAGTAGGAAAAAATTCAATTTATTGGATGACATGATTAATAATGCAGCTCTCTAAGAGTAAAACAAAGAACCCAGACAAAATAAATGCAGCTCTCTAAGAGTAAAACAAAGAACCCAGACAAAATAAATATAAAACCGGCCTAGACTAAAAGAACATATTGACCAACATGCAACCAAGAGAAAGCGTCGACCAAATTCACAAAAAATTCAAGAAACTTGAACCAAACTAGCAAAATATTGACCAAAGGCAAAATCGTGCACACCAAATGGGTGAATGATAAATACCCAACCAAAATCGCAAAAGGAGTTAAAAACCAAAGTCACCGGAGGCTGGAATACGCAAATATGAGAGGCCGAATAACAAGAGGAGTTACCGACTAGAGACACCAGAGGATGGAATACCTAGATGAAAAGCCAAATTCCACTTTTCAAATTTTTGACGCCCACAAAGCACGAGGAGCGAGCAACAGCCAATCTGAAATTACAGTCTGAAGCCTTCAACAACCGAAAAGGAGGAAACTAGGTGAACAAAAACTAATCAAGTTAGGCGCCAAAGCTCTGATACGATGTTAAGAGCCGAAATCTGCGAGAGAAAATAGTTTAATTTTCTGAAAACTCGTTTATTCTTTTTGCCTCTTTTGTCCAATATGTGTGCGTGTGTGTATACACAGATTACAATGAAACTATATATTTTGCAATTTCTAAGAATCGGCTATCATTAACCGAAAGATAAATTCCATAATTATCTATAGTAACAGATATACGGAGGATTGCATTAGTGACATATAGGTGAGCCCAATAGAATGCAACGAATAAAGAACCAAATTGAGAAAGAAAGAGAAAGGGAAGGAAAGAGAGGAAGAGAGAGAAGAAATAAGAGAATATAGTATGAAATTGGGGAGAGAGTATAATTTATATATAAACAAAGTTTGAGTATTACAATGAATAGATTCTTTATATAGAGTCTAATCAAACTTAATTTGAGAAGGACAATAATCTTATTCTAGTCAAATTAGAAAATTAAAATAAACTAATCTAATCATAACAAACATAACTTATGTCAAATTCTATTTTAAAATTCTATTTAAATCTTATATTTATTCTTTTCATTTTCCATCACTTCTTTCCAAATGAGAAAACTCGACTCCTACGAAATATACTGCAAGACGAACTTTCTTATTGATCAAATGATCTAACCAAAGAACTTTTAATGAAGTAACAATAGGGAACTCCAAAAAAATAACAACCCATGCAACTCATCCACAAAAATTATAAGAAATCCAAATGGTGTTTTCCATACCTTTTTCATCCCTCTGGGTTAGAGGGAAGTTCAAAACTTAGCTATGCCCTTCTTAATTCTAGAAACCCAAAAGCTTGTGAACACATTCAACCAACCAGAAAGCATGAGTAACTTGATGCTAGTGCATTGATAGATTGATTCACAGAAACAGATGAGTGCAATCCTTATAGCTCGAATGTAGGAAAAATTTTGCTGCACCGAAAACAAAATATTCATTTAAATATGATGGTCAAATAGATTATTTTCATCTAAGCTATCTAAACATTTTTTTTCCTTTCAAAAGCTGTGCAAAAGAAACACGTAATAACGAGGCTTAAAAATTATTCATCAAAAACAAGCATTATTTTCATTATTTAAATAAATTTTTCTTTTTATCTTAACTTGAAAAATCAGGAAAAGGTGCAATAGAGATCGGAGCTAAAATAACATGATGGTAACTAGTAGGCAACAATCAAATGTCAATAGGAAAATTATATGATCGAATAGTGGCCTTGAGATAAAATGGCAATCCGAAGAATATCGCGTAGCTGAGGTAACATTAGAACAAAGTCGGTTGTAAATTGGCACATAGGAGTAGGCGATAACAATTCGGCACGAAGGTGAGGATGTGTAGAATGTCTGGTTTAGGTGGCAACGCTTAAGGCAATTCCTCAATGGTATCAAATTTAACTATGTCAAAAACATGTACGAGGGGATACAAGACAATTCTCAAAAACTTCATTCTTACCATTAGAATATTCAATAGGCTCATAAATAAAATCCTCATTTTCTTGATCATGATAAAGACTAACATAATCGGACATTGGAAGTGATCAGGACTGCAATGGTAAGCCTAGTGTGCTTGGCAAAGATGGAAGGATATATCCCATAGGTTGGCTTTCAGGTAAGCTTCATCAAGGATTGGGATTCGAGAATGTCGTCATGCTTTTTTCAGAATTTAAATCGTTGAGAAACCCAAACTCTAGGACATGGATATCTTTATAAATATCACACCTATGTAATAGTTATAAGAATTAAACCATTAAGAAACTTGAACTCTGAGACGTGGAGATCTTTATAATTATCATAACTGTGTAATAGTTATTCAAAGTGGGCTAGATACTAGCTAATAATAGATGTACTTTGCCAAAGTGCAAAAAGAATAGAACTAGGGGCTTGGAGTTGTTATATGAATCGTATGTGGTGTTGATTATTTGAAATAGCTATAAATTATCATGTAGCACACTTAACAAAACTCTAAAACCGAATCAAATAATTTTTGTTTTTAATTAAACCGAACAAAAGAAAATGAAAAATTTGACCAATTAACAACTAAAAGTAAATTTTATTTATTTAATTAATTTTTAAAAAAAAAAATCGAAATTGCGAAACACTTGAAAAAAGTAAAGGTATTAAGATAGTAAAAAGTCTACAAGAGCAATTGATATGGAGCCAACTGTAGGCATAATAATTATTCAAGCATTCAAGATTCCATGCGAGAATCGGATTACATCAGTGTGGCTCCTTGATCGGAATTAACAACAAAGTACCTATCAATAGTTTTTTTTCTTTTTGGATTTTTTTTTTCTTGTAACTAACAAGAACAAACGTAAATAACTAAGGAATGAACAATTCGGCCTTTTATTTTTATATTTTTAAAAAAATAATAATAAGACGTAACCAACTATAGCTTTGTTGGGGAACAACTCCGACTTACGTGATAAATGAAAAAAAAAATGTTTTTGTAACAATAAGTCGCTGTTTGGGCTGCATTCTGAAAAAAATGCATTTTTCTCTCATCTTTTCAACCATACATTCCCATAAAATAATATTACACGTAAATTCAAAACTTTTTCTTATTTTTTAATCACACAATTTTTTTAAAAAATTACTATTCAAAAATAAATTTTTCTCCAAAATGCATTTTAGTTGGAGCCCAAACATGGGCTAAGTAAAAGCTAAAACAAAGTGAGAAACATCTTTTGTCAACTAAGTTGTTTTTTATTTTTTATTTTTTTTTCAATTGCTGATTTGGGGGAATTTTTTATGGTTTAAGGTGGCTATGATTGTAAGTGTATAAGTTTTAATTTTGAAAAAGAAATTTTAGTCAAAGAAAAATGAGTTGCTCTAATAACAAATTGATGTAGAACATAATGAACAAAGAACAAGTTTAGATAAAAAGAGAAGGAGAAGAGAAGAGAGATGAAAGAGAAGAGAATATAGAAAAAATTGGGGAAGAAAAGTATTAATTTATTTAATAATTAAACTTGAAGTATGAAAATGAATAGACAAGCTTTATATAAAGTCTAAGCAAACCTAATTTGAGAAGGAAATAACAATCCAATTATAGTTAGACCAGAAAACTATAATAAATTAATCCGATCAAAACAAACATGATTTGAAATTAAATTCTTCATTAAAATCCGATATTTATTCTTATCACCATTGTCCCTCAGTAGGCATAAGGCGGATTCCCAAGCTTGGGTTCTAGTTGATATAGGGCTGATTGTATTAGTTCCATGGCATAGTAGAGATATGGTTGCTTAGGTCAAGAATGTTCCAATAGGACTTAACTTATTTTTATCCATTTTTCTTTTCTTTTCTCTTATTTTCTAGTTCAGAGATATGGGGAGAGATTGGGATATTTACCACAAAGAATTGATGAAGTATTGGAAAATGTACTGTCATTATTGTATGTTAGTACTTTCACTATAATTTGGATTAGTTCGTTATATGCAACAGTTGTATACATACTGCATTTGTCACTCCAACGGCAAATTTTTTTATTTGTGGATGGAACTTTCATGTTAAACTTTTGACCTTAGGATATAGCCTTCAGTGTACATTAACATTGCTAACTATGATTTATAAAATCAATGGTTCACTGTCGCTGTTTTACTTGCACTTTTTAAATTGGTGGTGAAGTGAATAGTAATATTCCCGTGTTTGTGTTTTAGGTAGTTTTTGAATTCTACGTAATGATTGCACTTTTTTATAGTGTGAGGAATTATGGCTTGGGAAAGTACACATACCTCGGATATCAAAAGTTCCAGGAATATCAAAATTGGCTTCTTACTCTCTGTCCATTATGGATGGCAAACGAGTGAGTAACTAGTAATCTTCTCTCGCTTACAAACTACATACTCAGGGTATGTTGGTATGCAGTAGTGGATAGTACAATGAACAATATTTTCCCTCTGTCTTTTTTATTTAACACTGTCGGATTACTATCCAACATGCTATCAAAATTATGAAAGTGTACACCATGTTTCAGTGACTTTGATTGATGATCTTCAGATCTCTGCCTAATGCACCTCAAACTCCCAATCTTTCTGATTTCAGGCAAGAATAACGTGCAATGATCTCTGTGATCATGTGTGGGAATTTCATTTCACTGAGGTATATACTTCATTCTTATTGGTGTAGCCAATCCTTGCATGTTTCTGATGAAGCTCTAGAAAATTTACTTTGAAATTTTTAGGTTCAGCTAAACATGCTCATAGTCATGTACGGTTGCTCTAAAAGATGTGTTAGGTGCAGGCACTTTCCTCAGTTGCCATCTCTAGAAAACCATCAAGTCCCCTAATTTTTGTTTCTCATTTACCTTCGTTTAGCCGCTTTAGTTCTTTCCTATTTTATGTTCTATTTCAATTTTGCTTCCGCAATTTGTTTTCATGTTTCAACCTACACAAACTGTTAAATTTTCTCAAATGTCAGAAGTGTTGAAGACTGAATCTCATATGCGTGACAACTCTTTCATTAACCCAGTCTTTCGTTTCTGCATTCCCAACTTCTTTGTTTGCTGCAAATGCAGCCCAAGTTCATATTGTCTCTTAGATTAGGCAACCAAGATTATTTGGATAATTAAATTCGAACTATCTCAAGAAACACTTAAATTAGTGTTCCATTTTTAATTACCTTTACGGGAAACTCCCCTAAGAAAGTATTTACTTGATGTTCATTCTTTTATGCAGCTCCGAGCTGCCATAGTTCTTCTATATTTATATTTCAGCTGATTCTATAGAAATATGGCTTTGCTATTTGTTTTCATAAAATGTAAAGATCCCAAGTTGTTTGATTAGCTGTCATATACTTCCACAGTCCTTGAAAGTAAAACTCCCAACTCGAGCCAGAGCTTACAAATTTATCATGTGCCATGTCTTTTTAGTTTTTATTTTTCTTCTCTTTGGGTACATATCTTTTAGGTTCTCCCTTACCCCGTCTTCGCAGGTAGTAGATACAGCAGCTAAAACTTTACTGTTCCAGTTTCTACCAAATTATTCATACAATTCCAAATTATGAAGAAAAAGTTCCATTAGTATTTTCATTTATTATTTACCTTTCTTTTGACATTTAATCCTTTTCTGATGGGCTATGTAGTTAGTTGCTCAAGAAGCTATTACTTCATGGACTAATTAATGCTGCTGTATAAACTTTTTTCGAACCTAGATTATATTTCAATTTGTCAGGATGAATGACCACAAATTTATTAAGGATAAGACTTTAGTTATCGTTCTATATTATGCTCATTGTCCTCAAGACAATGTAGACAAAATCAAAGCATGGGCCCCAAAAAATGATTAATTTGATGATCTTACCCGGATATTCTGATGATCTCCTCTTTCTGTAGGATGCTCCTGAATATTGGCGAAATCTTGATCCTTACTGGACAGGCACAGGAAGTACATTGCGCCGGTATTTCCATCCAGATGGAAGCATATCTGCAGATCCTGGTGATCTGGTATGGGGCGGCCACGAGTCATGCTACACTACAGTTACCGGATTGCTGGAAGATGGAGAAATACGAGAACATTATGTGAGAATCAATCGTTGGCCTCAATTACATGTTTTGAGGAAGCCCGATTGGGGTTGGGAATTATCAAACCATCTCTACTGCTACACTAGTGTCCCTGATGCCGAAAAGGAAGATGGAACGGGTCCTCTGTTTCCAGTTTTTTAGTCTAGTTTTGAGGGTGTTTTATGTTTGATTAATGTTATAGACTCTGTTCTGGCAAGGAGATTTTGTTTTATGTATGTATGCATGTATATATTGGTAAACATGTCGTGTTTATTTCAATGAAAAAATTTCATATGAATCTAAATGGGCATGGCTGTCTTGGGAAAAAAACACGGGGGATTTGTGTATCTATATTGGATTAAACTACTTGTACATGACACCCCCTATGTGTAAAAAATTTGGCAGTTGATTGGAAAAAGTGTCGTGAAGATAAACGTACTCACATGGATGTAAATCACCGTGTCAATCTTTATGTACTTATAGCATTGTCCATTTATATTTTCTATTAACATTACAACTTTAAAAAACAAATATGCTATAGTGCTAGGAAGGTTGACACAATGTCACGTGATATATTATATTATTGAACATTTTATAATAAAATCAACTTTTCCATCCAATCATCTACCATCATTTATCTTTGCATTTGTCAATATCTTTCAAACAAAGTGGCATGATCTTTTTAAAAACATTTAAATATAAGAAGATAGAAAGACTTGGCCTATGAGAGTAACAAAAAAAATTATTGTGGTCTTTCCTCTTTGAAATGAAGAAAGAGTAATTCTATTTCACTTCCCTGAAATTACAACGTCAAGTTTTAATTTGATATTAATTGATTGATAGAATTAAAAAACTCGTTTAATTTCAAATTTCATTTGACATATTATGAGAGTGTTTGATGGGTATTTTTATGAAAAAATGCATTTTAAAATAATAAATTGATATGAAATGTGTAGTTGAGAAATGAGGAAATTTTTTTTTTATATGTAATATTATTTTAATAAAGAATGTGTAATTAAAAAAAAGTGAAAAAAATACATTTTAAAAAAAATAGCTACCAAAGGGCACCTATATAGTGCCATTTAGACTAGGATGCAATCCCTAGGGAACACTTTACCTTCTTCCGGACTCCCAACGCCCCACCCTAACCCAACAAAACACACCCACCACTGAAAATCGCCGCCCCTATTCACCCACCTGCCATCCGGAAATGGCTCGTTATCACTGTACACGAATCCACCTACTCCCCCATCCTCCTTTCTCTCCCTCAATCACTCAGCCCTCAGGCAGTTTATCTATAAAACTCACCGGGTCACCTCCGAGTTTTCTTGAATATTTGACTCAGCTCTTCCAATGGAGGTCGAAACTCGCGCTCCTGCAGCCTTTGATACTTCTCATTTTTCTTCTACTCCCATAAACCACTCGGAGATTTGCGACGTTGAGCTTCAATGCCGTAGATGCCCGGCTACTCGAATGAAGCTCTGGAACAGCACGAAGTTGAATCACCAGCCTCCAATCTTAATAATTATTGGAATGAATACGCAAAATTGAAAGTCAATAATTATTGGAATAAATAAGTTTTCATATAATATTAAGGAGAAACAGATTGAATGATTGGTCGAAAATGAAAAGAACTCTTTCTTTTATCAGGCCCATTGTGATGCTAGAAAGAGGGTTTGAATTTTGGTATTTTTCTTACATTTCAAATTGTACCTGATCCGGTTTGTTCTCTTGATGTTCATTAAAAAGATTTTATTATTATTATTTTTTTTTGCGAAAATACATTTTAATTTAGGTTTTTTTTTTTAAGAATACGTAATTAAAAAGTAGGAAAAAGTTTTAAATTTTATGTGTAAAAGATTTGTTGTGAGAATGCGAGGTTGTAAATTAATTTTAGAAGGAAAAAAAAAAAAAGAATTTTTGGAAAATGATATAAAAATAGAGACATTTTATTTTTCCTTCTATCATATGTATTAGAGTTGTTCTGAAAATCATATTGAACTTTCTTCTCATAATTTACTTATGTAGGAAGAATTGGATATTAAGTCAAGATGCGCGTGAGGTACAAAGAAAAAAGACCTGGCACAATGGGTGGAACTTACATTTCTTATTAAGGCCCCGTTTGGCAGTCATTTTTTTTAAAATGTATTTTTCTCTCTTCTTTTCAATCACGCATTTTTTATTAAAATAATATTATACGTAAATCAAAAAAAATTTCTTATTTTTCAACCACACATTTTTCATTAATTTACTATTCAAAAATGCATTTTCATATAAAAATGTCTACCAAACACCCACTAAAACCAATTTCAATGGTTGACACTATATTTGGTGTAATTTTATATCAAATTTAATACAATTGGTGTCATCTCTCCAATATGGTGTAATCATTGGAATTAGTCTTACACCAAATTTTACATCAAATTTTATTTTTAATTATTTAATTAAAAATCATAAAATTACTAAAATTATTAAATTGAAAATTATGTTTAATGAATTAAAATATTGCAATTCTTAATAAATTAAAAAAATAAAATAGAATACCATAGTTTTAATTTATTATATCAATAATTATTACTTATTACTTGATTAGAATTTAAAAATAAATGTAAAATAGAAATAACCATCACACTAAAATAATGTAAATTAATTAATTTTAAAGGATAAAAAAAGAAAAAAAAAAGGGATATCGATGAAACAAAAATTTGTTGTGAAGGCGAAGGGATGGCAAAATGGGAAATATTGGAAAACGCCGAATTTGATGTAACCGAATTTGCCTAGTGCTTTTCAGCCTAACCAGTAACCATTGGAGATGGTCTCAATTTTTGAGGATTCGAAATAAGTTGTAATAAGTGGAACTTATATTTTCTTATGACATATTGAAATATGTAAGGGAGGAACGTTGACGATGAAGATGATAGATATGGAGAAATTGTTGTAATAAAATTAATTTTGTACCTCCAACAATGTTATTTAAGATGTAATTAAAAACATACTGATAAGTGTAGTTTTCACACTTATTTGAGATCTTAAATGATGATATGTTGTTATTCTTTGAACGGATTAGTACCTGATTTGTTATTTATTGTCTTTATTAGGAAAAGTTCACGTTTCAAAGAAAAATTGGAAAAAAGAGCGAAAAATGGCTAAATGAAACAAATTCAAAGTATGGGGACCAAAGTGTAAATATTTAATGGTTGATTTGGACCACGGAAGATACTTTGAAGATTGATAGGAGTCAATTGAATGCAAATTGGAGTCAAAACGAAAAGAGATATGAGTAGAATATTACCATAAATCGACTTCCAATCATATAGGATATTTTCAAGATTTTTGGTTAACTTGAAACCCATTTTCGAATGGAGAACATTTGAATTGGAAAAATTGTATTCTAGATTAATTGTAGATCTTTTAATTAGCTTTCCAATGCACTTTGAATCACCTGAATCGGACATTTAAAGAGAAAGTTATGATAAAAATACTGAAAGCTGTGCAGAGACAAAATTATGTGCGCGTGAAGACAACTTTGCTTATTTGATTCAAACTCTTTTGAAAGACAATTTGGACGTGAATTTTGACCTAATTTCATGAGATAAATACAAGAGATGGATAGCAATGAAAGGGTCTTTCTCTTGCCTCTTCTTACATAATAGTTTCATCAAATCCATTAAGAACATGGGCAAATTGCTATATTTTGAGAGAGAAGATCAAGCCATAGCAAGAAATTGAAATTCAATTACATCAAGTTTTGAATAGTTCAATTTTGGACGTGAAGATCAACATCTTTTGTATTCTTTCATGATTTCGGTGATATTTTTTTATTATTATTCTTCTAATTTATATATTAATATGTTAGGCTAGTTTTTCATTGTATTGGATGAGATGAACCCTATTATTTATTTATTTTAATTCAAGACAAGTATTTAGTTAATTCATATGTTACTTGATTAATTTTGTATTCCCATTGCACTATTGAATTGTTTGACCATCAATTAAATAGTTAATTGCTTGTTGTAGTGTATGAATACTCACAACGAGTCTAGAACGCGGCAAAATTAACATGTATAGCTAGGATTAAGAATAATATCTATCATACACGCAATCATACTGATAACTTAAACTAAATGCATGATTTTCATATGAATTCGGATTAGGAATAGGATCGGGTCGTGTTAATCATAGGTTGGTGTATCTTGAAAAAAAACTTTTAACATATTAGTGTTATCGATTGTCAAGAACTCGTGAAAAAAATTAGATTACAAATCAAGAATTGAAATAAATAGCAATAGGCGGAGTCAAAATCCAATACAATCCTCCATAATTTGATAAAACCGTAATTTTTATTGCTTGTTTAGATTAGTTTAGTTTAAATCAAATCAAAATATTTATTTTGTTTTCATAACTACAATTCCATATGAAACTAGTAAACTTGATTAAATTTATTCTCTGTAGGACGATAACTCTTAACTTACTTATTATTATTTGTCAATGATCCTGTGCGCTTGCGGGTATCACACGAACAAGTTTTTGGCGCCGTTGTCGAGCAATAAAGTTTTAGTTTGAGTTTATTAGTTTACATTGGATTTGAATTTTTTATTATTATTATTTTTATTTATTTATTATTTTTGTTATTTTAGGCTTTAATCGTGATACCTAATTTCTTCTTATTTTACTCTTAAAGCTTTTACTAGATTTCGAAATCAAAAGGACCTTTAAACAACGCTAAGAGAACTAAGAAGAACGAGGGTAATGGCTGAGAATCAAAATCAGATTCAAAATGCACAGCAGAATGCAGCACTTCAGGTTCAACAACCACCTCCAGCTCAGCTTATATTGGTTAGAGATTATGTGAATCCAGTACCTGCACCGATTTAACCTCATATTGTCTATCCACCGTTCGGACAAGCAAACTTTCACATTCGACCAGATGTCATAAATCTTTTCCAGAATCATCAAGACATCAGGTTCAGCGGGAAAGCTACGAAAAATCCACACGAACATATTCAAGCTTTTACCATGCTTTGTGATGTCATTAGCCATGAGGGGATGTCATAAGATGCATTCCGAATACGTTTATTCCTTCACACTTTGAAGGAGGGTGCGAAAATATGAATGATGTCCCAACCCCCTGGGAGCATCGTATCGTGGAATGACATGGTACA